GTCAGAAAGCCGGTTCAGTAATCAGCGGTAAATCTCCATCACCTGCTGACTTTCACATTGAGCAGCATTAACTACACAGAACCGTTGTTCACTGACGAGCTGCGCAAAAAATCGCGCGAATATGAACGTGGTGTTGCGCAGCTCGTCAGTGAACAACGGCTCTGTGTAGTTAATGCTGCTCAATGTGAAAGCAGGCACGTGATGGAGATTTACCGCTAATTACAGAACCGGCTTAAGTGATAAGATGCGCGTTAAACATCGCATGCGATTTATCGTGCAGCCCTAGTTATGAACATGCAAAACTGAAAAATTTGTGCACAACCTAATTCATATTCATGAGATAAGCCTTTGTTGATTCATCATAACTAGCTCATCTATGCAAATATGCACTTTTTGATAGCGGGCCATAGAACAATCCTGTCAAAAAAAATTCTGTTCATTCATTTTTAAAGGGGTCATGAGGATATATATAATCGCACAGACCAGTTTTTTCGTAGCACGTGCGACGTATATGTCGCACTGTACAGCCCTGCCCTCATGTAAGCTAACTTTCAGTCCTTCAGGAAACAATGGCTATATTTTATTGCCATTCGTGTATTTAACCAATCAATAATTAATTACTCTGCCTATATTATGTTCTTAAACTTTCAGCTGGACATGAGTTCCACTCAACCTTACTGAACTCCAGAAATTTTATGGACCAAACTAAAAGACAGAAGTAGGCATAGGTGAATTCCCGGAGGCCCGAGTGTGTTGTGTTCATTTAATAACTGTTCCCATATCACCTTCCCATGCCTTTATCCTCACAGACTACAACATGCAACAACTGATCTCTGATCAGCTTCTAAAGTATTTTATAAAAAGGTAATTTATAGAAAGACCAATCAGCTATGGCATGTTGAAAAGACTTTAAAGGAATTGTCATGGAGCTTATCTGGTGCATGGAGGACATTATTATTCTTCCCCTGAGCTGAGCAAGTAACACACAGTGTGGGGCCTGGACCCTTGAAGTGAGGTCTTGCTGTCCCCTGAGCATAAAGAAAGAAGCAATGGGGTTTACACAGAGACCCCTACAGAGACCTCTGATTGGGATATTTCTAAAGGTTCACATCCACAATGTAATATCTTAATGGGGGAAGTGGAAGTATTATATGTGTGTGAAAGGAGTTCAATTTCAAAACATAAAAACATGTAAGTATATATATCGCCATCAATGCATGTGTGCAGAGGCTAGACTGAAACTAGAATTTGTGATATAAAATCAGAGTAAATTAATTGCTTGGTCATTAATTAAATGGAAATTGATTAGCAAGCTCTTTAATTGTGTGTATGTGTGTTTATCTGCTAGTCCCCATCAGTCCCAGACTGAAAGATGACCTTGCAGGACAACATAAACAGGCACAGCTCTGGACAAACAGTATCACAATTGGATTAAATGTTTGTCTGGACAGTCGCAGCCATACAAACCCTCATAAATTAGCATGTATTTCTGAGTTTAAATTTTTGGACTACCAGATAATTTATTAGTGCACTGAGGTCAGTGACAACACAGTGCAGCAAATGTTAATGAGGATACCAATTCACAGAGTTCAAAAATATAAATGAGAATAAAAATAGGAATATATGCATATTGGTCTTCCAAAATAGAGCTCCAAGAATCTGGCTTCCATACAAGTGAAGCTCAGTTCACAGCACTTGTGGCATAATGTTGACTACAACAAATAATTCATTTTTATACCAAAAATTCATTTCCATTTTTCCTTTTTTTTCTTAAAAAACAAAAAAGTTTACAGTGAGGTATTTACAATGAAAGCCACAATGTATACTACTGTATATGCATGTTACCATGGTTTTAGTGTGAAAAAATTACTTATTGGACTTTTATAGTGTATAGTTATTTCCTTTGTTTTTTTCATTTTTGTTGCCATGACACACAATGCATAAAACTCTAAAGTTACCGTAGAAATGACAAGAACAGTTTTACAGTTTAATTAATATACCAGTTTTGGTAGAAGAATGAATTTAAGTGAATTTTAATTGAACCCAGAATATTCTATAATTTTATAAAGCAGAGAGTACTTTGTGACCAAAAGCTGTCCAAGATGGTTTTGGCAGGCACAAGCCAACTCAGCATGCACCAGGTCAAATCAAACTGACTTATAGTATGAACAGGGAAAGAAATGTGCAAAACTAATGCATTTAATATTGGAATATCAGCAGCTGTGGAAAGAAAAGAGCAAAACAGGAAATCATCAAAACACAAATGAATGTGTCCACAACCAGATGCACCCAATATAAGACTTTTT